CTTTTTCTCCCCTCTCTTGGTGTAATTCAAGAAATGGAGAAGCCATGCGTCATCGTCCCAACCCCTTAATAAGGCTAACAGGATAAGCAGCAATGCATCAAGGCACAAATGATTCCATATGCCAATGCAACCCTGGATTCAATGCCCAATGGGCAATACAGCAACCAGTGAGGTCTACAAAGTCTCTCGGGTGGAAACTGAGTCAGTGACGAGAGTAAACAATAGATCCCAATGTATGCCCAGCATGTGCAGAGGTGTGCAGAGAATCAACCTGGGCGATCATGACAAAAACCATCTGCAGAGGCAGGGGGCAGGGGATGGGCGGGAAGAAGGGAGAGGAAGGAGCCCTCACCCCCAATAAGAAGTGGAACCCCATTTAAGATCGTATTTTCTTTGTAGTGTTCCTGAATCCTCAGCAGGGCAGGGTGTGTCTTACGCCTAATCACTTGGGAGATAGAAAAAGGGCAGACCAGGCACCCAGAAGGAAGCACACAAGGAGAAGTCACGGGCCCAGTGGAGAAGAATCAGGGGAATGCAAAGGGAGTCTTCAGGAAGGAAAGGGATCTTCCCCCAGAGTTGACAAGGAACAAAAGCTTTCCCCTCGAGTCTGTGCCCGAATTCAGACTGAACAGCCTCCTACACAGTGATAAAAGGAGATCTCTGCTCTTTAGAACCACTCACTTGCCGTGACGTAGTTCCTTGCTGTTACAGAAGCAACTTAGACAGAAGGGAAGTTGAGGTCTGCCTGAGGACAGACTTGGGAAGCCAGATGGCCTCCAGCCTGCACTGAGGCATGGTCCTTTAGTCAGCACGCTCTCTGCCACCCATTGCCTCCCTGGTTTTACTAGGCATAGCCCTGGATACAGACCTACTCTTTGTTTTGCTTCTTAAAAGTGCGCCTAATCTATTGTAAAGAGCAGGGGAGGTGTGCAGCCCAACACTACTGGTGGGAACTAGCCATTCCTGGGCAGGGTCATGGGCCATCTTCATGAAGATTGGCTTGAGTCCATTGTCATGGTCACTGTGTAGGGCTTCCAGCAGGGGCAGTGGGGTGCGGGGCGGGGAGAGTAAGCTTCCCACCCTCTACCAGACAGTGTTCTGCTGTGAACCACTGGGCTTCCTCTGGCTCATTTTCAGAAGTAGATTGCCAGGCCGTTCTTCCCAGCCTGTCTTAGACTGGAAACCCCACTGAGGCCCACAGATCCACCACAGGTGACCCTGCTGGTCTCTGAAGTGCCAGCAGCATCACTTCCAGCATTGACTCCTAGCAACAAGAAAGCACCCGTAGTGTAACAAACCAACAGAGTGGTGGAAATGAGCACTTAGAAATGTGCACGTGTGAGGGGGAGTTATTTTAAGGAAGTGGCGGGTGAAATTATGGAGTGCAGACAAGTCCAAATTCTGACCGTCAGGTGACAGGTTGGAGGGTCCTACAGTCTTTATGTCCCAAAATCCACATGTCAGGCAATGGGAAGAATGAAGACTGGGAGGCTTTGGGGAAAATAGCTATTCAGCGTCTGGAGGCAGAGTATTCTTAGGGAAAAAATCCCTTCTGCGCTTAAGGTCCACTTACATTAAGGAGGATAATTTGATTTACTTAAGGGCAACTTAAGGTGGCTAAACATTGTTTATGTGCCTGTTTACAGTTCAAATCTTTAAACGATCTGGGATTTATTCTGTTATGAGCATTGTACGTATTTTCCAAATAGTGCTACTTATCAAATAAATCACATTTTCTCCACTGATTTGAAATGTCAATCTGCTCCAGATTTTGAAAGTGAGAAGGCATCACCTCAACCTCAACCTCATTTTGTACACAAAAATTAATAACTTTACATTAATGTAAAATACAAAACCATTGAGCCTTCCGAAGAGCACCGAGGAGCTGAGGTCCAGGACCAAGGGCTAGGCAAAGAGTTCTCTGACAAGACATTGTGGAAAGCACAATCTATAAAATACCAAATTCATAAACCAGACCCTGTTCAGAAACATTTCTGTTGTGAAAGATCCTGTTCAGAAGATGGATAGACAAGTTACAGATTGGGAAATAATGTTTGAAACCGCATATCTGACAAGGGCTTTTCATCGAGAAGAGTTAAAGAATTATCAAAAGGCAGCGGTAGAAAGCAAAAAAGTCCAATGATAAAAGGTACAGAAGACATGGACAGATATTTCACCAAAGGGCAAGTGAAGACAGCAAACTATGTGCTCAACTTCATTAAGCATTTCAAACATGCCAATGAAAAATCACAACCACAGTGATGTCTCCTAGTTCATGAAACCACATGTCACAATGACTAAAATTAAAAGAAAAGCACCAAATTCTTCTAAGGATATGGAGAAACAGTGATTTTCATACATTGCTGGTAGAAACTAAGCAGTACTCTTACAAAATGAAATGGGCACTTTCCACACAATCTGGCAAATAGTGGTCGTGCATATTTATTCCTGAGAAGTGAAAATTTGTGTTCACACAAAACTTGTACATGCTTATTCATAGGAACTTGATTCATAAGTTGGAGGTGGGAGGGGTGCAAGTGGTATTCAAATACAAAGAAGTAGTGTAAGGAAATTCTTATGCTGATGAAATAATTCTGCATTGTGATGGTGGTAGTTACAGGAATCTATACACATGATGAAATTGCATAAAGTTATGCCCTGATGGGGCTGTGGGTTAGATTTACAGCCTCTGAAATCCTATTTAAAAAATTATTATGAGTCAGGATTTATTCGATGGCAAGTGGGTTTGGGTAGACACACACACACAGGCATGCAGGTCAGAAAATGGTAAAAAACAGAATTATTTCTGGAGCCTATTCATCAGTAATGTACAAACATCCATCTCCTGGTTTTGATATTATTTATGTTAAACAATTATAGAAGATCTAGACAGTTATATAAAATGACAACATTGGGAGAAACTACAGGTACTGTTTTTGCAACGACCCGTTGTTACATGCCATCCAGTTAAAATTGACCCAATGTACAACACAACAAAACGCTGTACCCTCCTTATCATTGTAGCTAAGTGAGAGCCCATTGTTGCAGCCACCGTGTCAACCCATCGCGTGGAAGTCCTTCCTCATTTTTCACGGACCCTTGACTTTCCCAAACATGATGGCCTTCCCCCAGGACTGGTCACTCCTGATTACATGTCCAAAATTCACCAAACAAAGTCTAAGCCTCCGCATTTCCAAGGAGCATTCTGACTGTGTTTGGTCAAGGCCGATTTGTTCATTCTATCAGCCCATAGCACATTTAATCTTCTTTGCTAACAGCATCACCCACACGCACCAGTTCCTCTTCAACCTTTCTTATTCATGGTTTGGCTTTTGCGGGTAGTGGAGGCCATGGAGTATACAATGACTTGTGTCCTTTATACCTTGCTCTTCAAAGTGACATCTTTACGTTTTAAGACTTTAAAAGGGGTCTTTTGCACAGATTTGCCTGATGCAATATGTTGTTTGATTTCTTTGACTGCCGCTTCCATAGGTATTGATTGCGGATCCGTGTGAAATGAAATCCTTGGCAATTTCAATGTTTTCTCCGTTTGTCATGATGTTGCTTATTGGTCCCGCTGTGAAGGGTTTCTGTGTGTGATTTTCTTTTTAATGGTGAGGTGTGTGACCCAGACGGAAGGCGGTAGTCTTTAGTCTTCCTTGTGAAGTGTTGTCAAGCCCTCTTCACTTGGAAAAAGAAGAGCTGATTCATTGTATCAATTCTATATTTCAGGTTACTAACACTCTTTCCTCTGATCCTGATGTTGAGTTCTTCCTGTAGCCCAGCTTCTCAAAATCAGTATTTAAAATGAAATCGTGTTTAAATTGTTAAGAAAGAGAAGCCTAGGAGGGAAGAGAGAAGAAACCTGACTTTGTCAGATATCGGTGGCTAATTCATGACACTCACCACCCCTCCCCATTTATACATGCACACAGCACCCTTGTGGAAATTGACCTACTTAACCCAAAATAGCTGAAGCCCCTTTTCCAAATCGACCTATAGTTAGTTTTAACCCATAAACTATTACTATGTGAGCCAGCTCCAGCTTCGTTTCTACACCATCTGGGGTAAGCGACATCTGGATCTTTGCACATACATAAAATACCTAAAGGCAAACTGACTGCCAGCAAGTCAGTGTCGACTTATAGCTACCTATAGGATGGAGTAGAACTGTCTCGCTTGTTTCTGAGACAGTGACTGTTTATGGGAGTAGAAAGCCCTGTCTTCCTCCTGTGGAGCTGCTGGTGGTTTTGAACTGCTGACCTTGCAGATCACAGTCCAACTATTTTAGTGTTTTTTGTTCCTTAAGGGCAGAATTCCCTAAGAATCTTCTCTTCCATAATCATAGAAGAGTTATCAACTTAAATACATTCATGTTGATTCCTATCGGTTGTATTCCACGTTGGCCCATTGGCCCGACAAATTCCAGTACAAAATCCAGTCCAGGGCCAGATGTTGCAGCTAGTTGCCATGTCTCTGTGGGAGGCTTAGATTTGACGCCCATCTCTGTCACCAGGCACCCAGAATTCCTATCTGAAAAGTAGCATCACCAAGCTGGCCTCGTTTATCGCTCTCAGTCCACACCAGGGACCTGGCGCAGACTTCTCTGGCAGCACCGTTTCTGAGAAGTGTACAACACTTTAAGAGGGTGGAGGGGTTGCATGAAGAAGGCCTTCTGGCTTTGGTTGACGCCCTGACCTGGGAACACAGCTCAGGCGGAGTGAGCTAGGCAGGAGCCTGAAAACAAGGAATTTGGAAGTAAGCCTTCCAGGGCATCAGGAGGGAGACCCTACGAAGGGACTCCTCCTCGCTCTGCTCCCCCTCACCTGGAGGGACTGGCAGCCAATCCAGAGCGCAGCCGGGGCCCCGCGGCCAATGGGAAGGCGGCGCGGCGCGCTTTCCCCGGCGCTATAAGTGCGGAGCGGCGGAAAGTGAAAGTGGTGCTGGCCAGGCGGGTGCAGCCCGGGCCCGAGCGCAGCAGCCCCAGCAGAGCCGCTAGGATGCTCCGCTCTCCGCAGCCGCAGCCCGGGGACTCGGGGCCGGCCGACCGCCTTCCCCAGACCACGCCGGCGCCGCAGTCCAAGCCGCTCACCTCCTTCCTCATCCAGGACATCCTGGGGGATGGCGCGGAGCGGGGTGGCAGCCCGGAGCCCGAGCCGGACCCACGCGGAGACCCGGAGGCGGAGCCCGAAGGAGGCCGAGGCCGTGCCGGGGGCCCAGAGGAGGAGCTGGGCTCCCAGGCCGGCGCCGCTCGGGGGGAGGCCCGGAGCCCCGGGGAGACGGAGCCAGGTAGGACGCCCACGGGCTTGGGTTGGGGGAGGTCCTGTGGACCCGCCGCCAGGCTGGAGGCTGCGGCGCGCGCGGCCCGGGGCAGGCAGGGGTGGCCGGAGCAGAGCTCACTGGGCTAGGGATGCAGGGATGCTGGGCCCGCAGTGACAGGCAAGCGAGGCGGGCTCCTCCCGGGTTCCGCCCGAGCGCCGGGGGCCGCGCAGCGTGGCGCTGGGCACGACTCCCCCGGCGCGGCCCTCCAGCTGGAAATCAGCCTCCGCCTGCTCGCAGCGACCGGCAACTTTTGTTAGGCGCCAGCCTCACGGAAGTTAGAATAACTAATATCTATCTATAGAATAACGAATAGCTAATAAGAATAGCTAATATCTATCTATAATATGACTAAACTAGGATTTGGATCAGCCAAACCATTCCCTTTGACTCCCAAACCCATGGGCTGTAAAAGCCACGGCCTTCAGGAAATAGAGCATCGTTGGAACCGTTGAACAGGGACATCATTTCTTACCCATCACTTTTTATGAGGCGGGCGAACGCCTCGTTCAGGAGAAATATGATTAAAGCAAGCGAGTGAATTTGCTGCTCCCATTAACCCTTGCAGTTTCTCCCATCGCACAAGCCCTCTCTTGCCCACCCGGAGGTTAACGCCCCAGCTTTTTAGTTGCGCATTAACAGAGATCTTATCCCCTTCCGACTTCCCTTCTCCCACCCCATTTCTATCCACAGACCCAGGATCCCCATTTATTTAAACCACGACATGCCTCTTAACGTTGAGTTCTTGCCGATTATTGGAAAAGGAACATAACCCATCTATTTACTCATTCTCCTCTCTGGAGAGCTTGTCAGTCGTGCGAAAACACCACCATGTATCCAAAGACGACCGTAGGTGGTGGCTTCATTCCCTAACGAGATAAGGTTGACTTGGAACCCGCCCTCTTCCCTGCTTGCTAACTCGTAACTTTGTTCTTCCCATCCCTCCTTCTCCCCTATACTCTCCAGAGAGGCACTTTGAGACTTATCTGTTAACTTCGGGCGCCCTACCAAGCCTCCCACCAACACCCAAGCAACCGCAGAAGCGTTCCCGGGCAGCCTTCTCCCACACGCAGGTCATCGAGTTGGAGCGGAAGTTCAGCCACCAGAAGTACCTGTCAGCCCCTGAAAGGGCTCACCTAGCCAAGCACCTGAAGCTCACCGAGACCCAAGTGAAAATATGGTTCCAGAACAGACGCTATAAGACCAAGCGGAAGCAACTCACCTCCGACCTAGGAGACCTGGAGAAGCACCCCTCTATGCCAGCTCTGAAAGAGGAGGGCTTTGCCCGGGCCCCCCTGGTCTCCATGTATAACAGCTACCCGTATTACCCTTACCTTTACTGCCTGGGGAGCTGGAGCCCGGCTTTCTGGTAATGCTCGCTCAGCTGGCGATCAGATGTGATCACAAACTGCCTTCCCCAGAGTCTCTCTGGGAAGCAAAAGGGGCCAGGACCAGGAAGGACTTGGGGGGAGCAAGAGGGGTGCAGATCAAAATCTCAGGTTTGCATGGGGATCTGAGATCTTTCACTGGCAGGCCAAAGACAGGCATGGAGCAGTAAATATTTTAATGTCTAAGCAACTCCCCAACACACAGTGTAGAATATCTTTGCTTTGTCTTTTCTTTATCTGCCTGTTTGAACATGGGGAGTGATGTGCTCAGGTGCTGTTTTCAGGGCTGTGTATGAATTTGTACGAACTACCTTCCTCATTTCTACAGAGTGCATCCCTCCACCTTCCTCTGATAGCTGTACATCGAGAGAGCAAACCGGAGGGGAGAAAGGCCAGCAGTGATGAGAATGTTTCCTACCTTGACCTTGGAACATGACCAAAGTCTTTTTCAGTCTCTATAAGAAAACCTCGCAGAGAGACAGACATTCCTCATGCTCAGAGCAGACAGGCCTGGGTTATGAGGGATGAGTGATAGGGGCGGAAAAGATGGGCCGCTTCTTATGTCTTGTTAACACAGGACACTCACTCACTGAAGTCTTTTCAGGGTGGTGCAGGTTGAACAAGACCCACTCGCTGTAGTTTTAAGACAAGCTGAACAAACACAGCTCTGCAGGGTGGGCCCCTGCTAGGAGAACCCCAGCACGTCCAAGGCAGGGGCTTCAGGAGGGGCCTTGCTCTGCTACCACAGGCATCGCGTTGGTTACTGGCTAGGGTAGAAAGGCCTGTCCTGGAACATTCTGTTCTGGGCCTGAGAATTCAGACTCGGAAGGTTCCTGGAGTTTTCAGGAGTGAACTTAGTCCGCATTGTAAGGGACCACCTCGCTCCTAACTGCAAAGCCCTTCCTTCCCAGCTGCCTTCCGGTTTCCTTCCTTTGCTGCACCCATCACTTCTGCTCAGTTCCTATTGTGAGCTTGGCTGCACCTAACATACATCTTCCGGAATTAGCTTGAGAGTTCATCTTGAAAAACAAAACAAAAACAACTTTATCTCTGGATGGTTTAAAAAGAAAGAGTGTGTGTGTGTGTGTGGGGGGGGGGATACTTTTGAATAGGTCAGATGACAGGCGTTTCCAAATCAACAATTTTTATGTCTTCATTTAAAAACATACGGCATGATATTTATTCTAAATCCTATTTAAAGACCCACCAGATCTAGAAGGTCACTGACTCCCTGCTGCCTTGGTACGACTTGCTGGTGGCTCGGTTGCCACCGTTCAGTCTGACAGTCCTTTTTTTTGCCTGGACTTCTTGCTGGCAGGGAAGCTAAGAGGTATGGGGCTCTCACGTGCAAGGGACGCTGTGCAGAACGCAATGCCGCTGTCACTGCTCCCTCTAGACTCGAGAGGGAACAGAGGGCTCATGGGCCGGGGACAGAGGAGGGAGAGAACCCAGGCTTTGGAGAGCCGTTGACTTTCCAGTCCACCGAGAAAGGCCCAGAGGACTTTGCAGGGAGAGGCTAAAAAGAAGAGACTGTTATCAAAGAACAAACTTATTGTGAGGTCCATCACCAAACTAATGCAGAAAATGCCCAAATGCTCTTGGAACTGTGGGAGAAGCCAACACTTCTTAAAGCCCTGGTCCCCCAAACGGGCTGCGGAACGGATGAGAGGAGGACAAAGGAGAGATGGGGCTGCCCTTCCATTCATTCCCCTCCCACTGTCTCAGGTGAGCTGGTGGACGCAGCCACCAGGATTTTAAAAGCCAGCTACTAATGTGGTCCTGTCTGGCCTGGCAGGCTCTCGAGCCCACTACTTAATTCTGTTTAGCAAGAAACCTTTCAATTTCCTCCTCCGACAAGCGCCAAGTTACTGTTGGTGGCAATACTGCCAAAGTAAGCTGGTAGAAAGTTGGCTGGTTTGGCACCATTTTCCATGGTTTGGGCCCCGTGTGGAATTATTGTTAAGTGCCACGTACTGCCAACTGCCACCAGGGCACTAGCTAGCACAAAGGCTGATCGCTTGGCTTGCTTTCTCCTTGGTCACATGTCTTTATTGCGTGTGTTAGTGCCCATTGTCTCCTCACTACCCTTTCCCCTCCTGACACTCGGTATTTAATTCCTTCCGCCTGACATGTAAGTGTGAAACATTTTACTGCGATGTATGCATTGTGCAGCCAAAAAAAAAAAAAAAGGTCTTTATCCTTATCCTTTTGTCCTTCCATCTTCCCTTTTTTCCTATTGGAATTAGTGATACGCCCATGTCTGAATGAGTAGGGAAACCTGTGAACAGCTAGTCTTCCAGCTACTGATCGGCGAAGTGGATGGCGCCCTTTGCTATTGGACTGAGACAACCTGTTCCATTGAAGGAATCCGCTTGGGTTTCCCACCTGCATGACACACCCTGCTCTGAGCTGTAACATCCCCCAAGCCGTGACTTGACGTTTAGTAAAGTAGCCCTGGCTGACTTTATTTTTCTATGTATTTTTGGGTAACATACAAGTGTTTTTCAAATAAAGGATGGTGTCTTTACTAGAAATTACTGTGTGGTTTTCTGCCTCCTAAAGGCTTTTCAACTTAAATGTTTCTGGTTTCCTTGTTCACCCAACCTCAGTCAGGTCACCTGATGAATCAGTAGAGATCAAAGCATTAGAAGCAGCAGCTTAGGAGGAATGAACAATGGCCGTGGTCTTGTGGATGCCCTGGTGTTGAAGCCTGGCTAGTTAAGGAAGGGGAGAGGAATGCCTATGCTATAAGAATCACCTGTTCTATTTAAGTGGGAAAACCAATGCAAATGCCATCGTGTGAACTCAGACTTATGGTAACCTCTTTCCTTTTTTAAAATACTTTTATTGGGGCCTCTTATATCTCTTATCACAATCCACACATTCATCCATTGTCTCAAGCACATTTGCACATATGCTGCCATCATTTTCAAAGCATTCTCTTTCCACTTGAGCCCCTGATATCAGCACCCCATTTCTTCCCCCTCCCTCCCCCACTCGCCCTCTCCCATGAACCCTTGATAAGTTATAGATTATTGTTTTCATATCTTACATCATCCTCCGTTGCCCCTCATCCACTTTTCCATTGTTCATCCCCCTGGGAGGGGGATAGAGGTTGATCCTTGTGATTGATTCCCCGTTTCTCCCCCCACCCTCCCCAATCCTCCTGGTATCTCCTCTCATTGTTGGCTCTGAGGGGTTGATCTATCCTGGATTCCTTGTGTTGCAGGCTCTTACCTGTAGCAGTGTCCATGTTCTGGTCTAATCCGATTTGTAAGGTAGAATTGAGGTCATGACAGTGGGGGGAAGGAAGCACCAAAGAACTAGAGGAAAGTTGTGTGTTTCATCAGTGCTATGCTGCACTCCGACTGGCTCCTCTCTTCCCTGGAAGCCCGCTGTGAGGAGTTGGGTGACCTCTGTCTTGTGGGTCAAGTAGAACTATACTCCATAGAGGTTTTCAGGGCTGAGTTTTCTCAAGAAGCTTTTTTTTCAGAGGTGCCTCTGAGTAGCCTCGACCCTCCAACCTTTGGACTCGCAGCCCAGTACATTAACCAGCAGAGACCAGTCCCTAGAGAAGGGCATCATGTTTGGTAAAGCAGCAAAGGAGAGGCAGGCCCTCAAGGAGATGGACTGGCACCGTGGCTGCAACAACAGGCTCAAGCAGAGCAATGATGGTGAGGCTGGTGCAGCACCGGGCAGTATTTCGTTCTGGGGTGCACGGGGATGGCCACGGGTCGGAACCGCCTGGATAGGGCCTAGCAGCCGCAACCAGCCAGGGACTTCATTTACAGGAGCTCTAGTGGTGTAATGGACTCCATATGAAACTATTACAACAAGGTTAGCAGTTCAAGTCCCTCAGTCACGGATGGAGAAAGATGAAGTTGTCTGCTCCTATAAAGCCTTAAAGTCTTGGAAACCCAAAGGGGGCGCTTCTGCTCTGTCCCCTGTGGTTACTGTGACCCACCATCAGCTCAGCGGCAGTGAGTCTGAGTGAGGGACTCCATTCACACGCTGCCTCTTATTTAGTTCACAGCATCGGCTTTTGCCTGCATTTCCTGAAGACCACCGCAGTAGCTCTTTAAGAATCCCCTTACCACGTTCCACTAGCCTCTCACCTGAAACTGTGGCTGTGTCTTCTCACACCTGTATCTCCCTGAAAATTGAACTTTCAGCCAGAGCAGACAGACTTCTTGCAAGTGACACTGGAAATGGAATCGCAGGTACTGAAAATAGGTTTTATTCATGTATTCAAGCTGGAAAATAAACGCATCGAATGACCCCCCACCACTTAAGCTTTCATTAAGCCCACAAATAGAGTATCTCATGCACTTGTTGACCTGACCTGAGAGGATTGTTGGTTTTCTGGCCCACTTCTCCCCATTCAAGGAAATAGAAGCTCAGAGAGTAAGGTGCTTACTCTAGGTAAAACATATCATAATTTCAAAGTTGGCTCTAATCCTTTAAGTACATTGTACACACAGGTGGGGCTGCTCATAGCAGGTTCACATCATGAGATTTAACTCTTTGCACAAATCCATAACCATGCTTCCCTCCCCTGGAAGAACATTAGCTCTCAAATTACAAAGGCCCTGGCCGTAAATTAATAGAGGTTTTTTTTTTCTTCACTTTTAAAAACCATTTTGAAAAGTAATTAATCCAGGACATTACATAAAAATCTCTCACCTCTAAAGAAAGTTCTTCTCAGGCTTGTCTGCTCTATCCCTTTCCAATTTCCCCCTCAGTGTCTCTGCTACTCTTCCCCTGCCTTCTTCCAGCAAGACCATTTAGCCTGACATGTTTGTAGTGCTGAGCATTCCTTCTCAGTCTGTCTCTCAAATGACTTCAGGTGGAAGTTTCTGGAGCCACTGAAAGTTTGTTACTGGTGGTCCCGTGAGCCCTACCAGGGCCTCCTTCAGCAAGGCACAGCTGCCGCAGGGGAAATGAACGTGAGAGATTCATACTTAACAGAAGCTTTTTCTAACTACGCACCCCCTCCAATAAAAAAAGGTAAAAACTAACGTGAGCAGCATTAATATTACATAAGGTCTCTGAGGAATGCAAACAGTTTGTGTTCAACTACTAACAGAAAGGTTAGCAGTTCAAACCCACCTAAGCACAGTGATCTGATTCTAGAAATATTGTCACAGGGGGTCACACGGAGTCTGTATTAGCTCAATGACAGTGGGGTGGGGGCAAGATGGCACATCCTGAGTTGATTCCAGAGGAAGCATTGACCTTGAAGAGAAAACCACTTGATTAGGTGCCCTGGGAACCCTTCAGGATGAAGAGTTGTGTGCAGAAGATGTGTCAAGAGCGTTCTCAGGAGATGCATCTATGAAGAAGGGAGGCTAGCGGATGGAGGAGAAGTAGAAGCTGACCCACTACACAGTTGCACAGTTGCAAAGCCAACGTGTCCCCAAATGAGCCAAGAGTGTTGGGCATTTGCATGCCAGGATCAGCTGGGTATTAGTTGCTGACTGCCTGGAAAGTGGGAGGAGCCTTGGGCAATGCAGCTCCGTTCTGTGGGAAGCGTGCCCACTTAGAGATTTAGCTATGAGGCATTGGCAGCCAACAGTCCCAGCTAGGGAGGTCTTTGGCTTAAGAGAAGGGAACTCAGGAGAGCACTGGAAGATATGGATCCTGTCAGGGCCATGGTCACCACCATTTTTGCAAGGAGGAAAGCTCAGCGAAGAGGGCCAGACTAGCCTTAGCACGCTCTGTTCTGCACTCAGACAAGCAGACTCTGCTCCTCCCGTGGCCATCGTGAATATGTCACCCCAGGGCATGTTTTCAAAGCCTAGAATGATTTACTGCCCCAGAAAAAGGACAGGAATGGTAGTCCTGGGACATGAAGGGCTCCTAGTTTAGCCATAGACTTGGCCTCCATACAAGCTTTCCCAGACAGAGCTACTACCCCTCCAAGGGGCTTATCCAAAGTCTGCAAGGGAAAGGGGACAAGTGTCGATTTCTACAGTCTGCCCTCGTCTGCCCTCTGCGAAGCCGCCAGATGGGGCTGTGAAGGGTCTCCTGAGCTTGCTGATGTGGGATGGGTCTTTCAGGACAAATGGGGCCTCCTCCAACTGGGTAGGCTTCACCTGTTTCCCAGCTGTTTCTGTTCTGGGACCAGTCTTTGTTTTGGAGGTGACGGAGCAGAAAGGAGAAGGAGGTGTGCTGAGACATACTCATCTCTCCTGGGAATGACCCTAGAAGACTTGAAAATGATTCAAGTGGTGCGTGGTGATGCACATGAGGATAAATGCCTACCTCGTGTCTCTTGAAGGTGAAAGCACAGTGTCTTGTCTCAAATATCACTTCCCTCTCCCCCTCAGTTGCCTTTGCAGGGTGCTCTGTCACCATTGGCTGCACCTTGGACTCACCAGCAAGTCTTTAGCATAACATCAAGAAGGTCCAGCCTCATGAAGACTAACGACATTTTAATCTCTGGAGTAGGACGTGGGCATCAATATTTTTTAGAATTCACGTGCAAGGTGGCAAACCGCTTGTGTGGTAGTTACATAATCTCGTGTGAACTTGAGGATATTCAGAGTGAAGGGGTGGAGTCAGCCTGTCAATCAGGTCACCCTCCTTGTAGGCATGGCCTTCTCATGAGGATTCTGGGAACTTCCTCCCTTTCTCCCTGAAGGTGGGCCCCACACACTCTCTCTGCTTCACCTTCCTGTTGGCCCTCCATGTGGAGCCGTGCTGAGACCTGAGGGAGCCATGTGGCAGAAGCCTGCACCAGCGCTGAGATGTTTCCACCGGCATTGGATCCACAAGACTTTTCCCCCACCAGCTTGTGATCTTCCTGCACTCCACATCATTGCATGTGCTGCGAATCTAAAGAGTGGTTTATGTACTAGATGGGACTCATGGGCTAATATCGGACTTATGGACTTGATCTGGACTGGGCTGGGATGTTTTCTCAATATATAATTGCTCTTTGACATTAAGTGTCTCTGGATTTGTTTCTCTAGTCTACCTGAACTAACAAACCTTGCTCCATCTCTTTTCAATGGGGTTGCCTGCTCAGCTTCACGAATGCCAGCAGAAGAGGGAACTGGAGAGCCAGGAAGAGGGAAGATTGGGATGGTGTGTGTGTGGATGGTGTGTGCAGGGAGGGCTTGCTTTTTTCTCTTTACAAAGAACAGATGTTCCCCTTTTCTCACTTTCTCTGACCTCATCAGAAGGTCCTCTGTAATCCAGGAAAGCCCAGAGCATTCCTGCTAATCCCCTACTCAAAGTTCAAGGGACTCCAGCTGGCTAGATGTGTTCATACCCCACTCATGCACTTATTACCCATCTCCAACCCAGGCCCATTCAGACTGGTGACACGCTGCTCTTTTCCTCCATGGAAGATGGGAAAGACAATGCCACCCTCACTTGGGCTGAGGAGTTTTACCCTAACCTGAGAGGAAGGAGCTTTGTTTGCTCATTGGGAGGCACAGCAGGTGTCATTTAACATCCGTCAATTAGTGTCACACTTCCCTGACAACTCATCGATCAGGATTAAATAGTGCCTTAACGCTGACATAAC